TGAGCCACCGTGCCCGGCCATGAACATTTTTTAAATTGCAAGATTTAAAATAATAAATGATATGGAAAAGTTGAGTATCAAAAATATAAGGTTAATGCTTCAGTCCCATTTCTAAAAAATGGGATGGTAAATATCATTGTGACCATTTTCAGAAAATGCAATCAACCAGAACTATAATTGGTAAAAAGGAGTGACTATGCCTCCATGTATATGTAGTCTGTATTTGAGGCCTAGCCAGTCCTTGTTCACTCCTTTTAATTCTGAATTTTTGTGAAGAAAACATTGACATGGCCCACACATGCCTGGATTGCAGGTGATGTGAATAACTTGGAGAATAAAGGTGGATGTTCCTACTCTAGATCATTTGCTCCTTTAATTAATTAATTAATTAATTAATTAATTGTTTGAGACAGGGTCTCACTCTGTCACCCAGGCTAGAGTGCAGTGGTGCAGTTATGGCTCACTGTAACCTCGACCTCCCTGGGCTCAAGTGATCCTTCTGTATCAGCTTCTTGAGAGCTGGCATTACAGGCACACAACACCACATTTGGCTAATTTTTGTACCTTTTTTTGTAGAGATGGGATTGCACCAGGTGCCCAGGCTTGTCTTGAACTCCTGGGCTCAACGCTCAAGTGATCCACCTGCCTCAGCTTCCCAAAGTGCTGGGATTACAGGTGTGAGCCACTGATTTGCTCCTTTTAAAAATCGGCTTTACTGGGGTAAATTTAAGTATAATAAAATATCACCAATTTCTAACTGTGCAGGTAAAGATGGTTTGACAAATATATAGAATTGTGGAAAGATCATAGTCATAACGTAGAAGAACATTTGTATGAACCTAAAACGTGTCCTTGTGCCCTTTTGCTCCCTGGTACTCCTCTCCTACTTCCAAATCCTGGCAACATGGATCTACTTTCTGTCCCTTAGTGTTTACCTGTCTTGAATGGCCTGTGAATGACATCATAATATATGTCTTTGGTGTCTGGCTTTTTAAACTACGTGTACTACTTTTGAGGTTCAACCAAGTGCTGTATGTAGCATTGTTCCTTTTTATTTCTACTCTTCCTAGCCATGGTAAGACTATACCACAGTTTATCCATTAAACAGTTGATGGACATTTAAGTTGTTTCTGGTTTTGAGTGATTGTGAATAAACATTTCAGCTCCATAACTAACAAGAAATTATTTTTTACTTAGTGTTTTGAGTGGGAATTAAAGCAAACCAATTGGAGAGACTGGCTTGACTCTCCTTCACCAGGCTCTCACACCCAGCTGGATTTGACTCGCATTTTGTTATGCTTTGGTAAATTTTCCCCCTTGTACCTTTCTTACCAAGTATTTTACCATCTACTTTCTCTTTGGCCACGTTGAACTCCCTACTAGGGGCAAGGAGCATGTCTTCTTTGTTTGACCCGGTGCCTAGCAGAGTGCCTTTCACATAAGAGAGGTATGATACATCTTTAATGCATTGATTTACGTTCTTCTCTAGTCGTTCCCTGAATGCCTAAGTGCTTTTGACAATTTTTTGAATCCATTATTGTATTACCTCTCGAGCAGGTATGGCCAATCTTTTGGCTTTCCTGGGCCACACTGGAAGAGGAAGCATTGTGGGCCACACATAAAAGACATTAACACTAATGGCAGCTGATGCGCTAAAAAGGAAAAAAACAAAAAGGCCCGTGCATAAATCTCATAATGTTTTAAGGAAGTTTATGAATTTGTGTTGGGCCGCATTCAAAACCATCGAGGCCGCAAGCTGAGTAAGCTGTCCAGCTGGCGGCCCAGGACAGCTTTGCATGAAGCCCCATACAAACTGTAAACTTTCTTAAAACATTATGAGATTTTGTGTGTGTGTGATGCTCTTTTCTTTTCTTTTCTTTTTTTTAGCTCATCAGCAATCATTACTGTTAGTTTCAGTGTATTTTATGTGTGGCCCAAGACAGTTCTCCCAGTGTGACCCAGGGAAGCCAAAAGATTGCATACCCGAGCTCCAGAGTATTATAAAATAGGTTTCCTTAGATAAAAATATTTTAATCCTACCTCTGCCTTTAAATCATTTGCTGTGCAACCTGTAAGCAGACTTCAAATTCTTTGTGACCCTTGGGGATTTTTTAGTAGGTTTTTTTTTTTTCCAACTGTAAATTGAGAGGGTTTGATGAAACACATTTGAGGTTCCCTTTTAGTTCTAACATTCTGGGAATTTATAAAAAGCCTACCAAGTCAGAAAGAACCTGCAAGAGGGGAGAGAAGGCAACATAAGTGGAAGGGGAAAGGAGGTTGGAAAGCAAGACTATATCGTGTTTCTAGGCAATGAAGCATAATGTATAGTTTCCCAAATAGAGGGAAAGTTGGGGAAGGATTCAAGAAACATCAGTTGATGTGTAACTCAGCATTTGTTTGTAGAAGTCTGTTAACTTGTTTTATTTTATAAAAAGGACTGAAATTATGACAGTTCTTTTCTATAGTCAATTTATTTTTTATTTTTATTTATTTATTTTGAAACAGAATCTCACTCTATCACCCAGGCTGGAGTACAGTGGCACAATCTCTGCTCCCTGCATCCTCCACCTCTCAGGTTCAAGTGATTCTACGGCCTCAGCCTCCCAAGTAGCTGGGATTACAGGCGTGCACCACCACTCCCAGCTAATTTTTGTATTTTTAGTAGAGATAGGGTTTTGCCCTGTTGGCCAGGTTGATCTCTAACTCCTGGCCTTAAGTGATACACCCGCCTCGGCCTCCCAGAATGCTGAGATCACAGATGTGAGCCACCGCTCCTGGCCTACAGTCAATTTAGAATATCGGTAATTAGGCAGCCTATTCTGAAAACTGATGGTGAGATTGACAACCCCTTTACACTGGGGAACTGTAAGTACCAGTTTGTGATGGGTAGTTTCAGTTATGACTGTTATCCTCATATAATTATTAGTAGTGCCCCTCTCACTCCCAGATGGGTATTGGTGTTGGAGAATGCATTCATGTCACCCAATTGTTAGGGGTTGCAGAGCCCCAGGTTTCTATCTCTGTCTCCTGCCCCAGCGGGGGGTCTGACCTGGGGATGGTTAGAGTCCACAGGGCTTTTTTTAAGCTGATTACTTTAGCAGCATGGTCTCCAACTGGCAAAGCCATTAGAACCATTCTCTTCCAAGCACCTTTTTCTAACATGTCTGAAAAGTTTTTGCCTCCTCATGTAAGACTTAAGCAGATTCTCCAGCTACACATAAAGATAGCAGCCTTCCTTTCCCCTGTGACAAGAGTATCACAACATCCAATCCTGAAATATTCACTGCCCACTTTCTGTGTGCCAAGCACTGAGCTGGGCCGAGGGTATAGAGACAAAGATGACAAAGGAAGCAGGCATGTAAAACAATAACTAAAGTGTGATACATACTATCTTTGTACATTGTACACAACATATATTGAGGTCATTGCGGGAAGAATAGTTAATTCAGGAGGGAGGAAGGAGAGGGGAAGAATTTTGAGCTAGGCCTGAAGGGGGGTAGTGGTATGTATACATCTTACAGGGGGATTGAGTGGGCAGGTGGCGGAGCTTTCTGGGAAGAGGAAGAGACATATGCAGGGATCCATGACCAGAAAATACATGGTGTGACTGGGGAGGCAAAACGTAGCCTAGTCTGACTGTCCATTTGTTGTATATACTAGTTTGGAACTGAGTGCGACGTAAGACCGTGGACCACATCCCGGGGGGAGGAGGTGTTATTAGAAGTACCAGATAGGACCTTATTTCACATTTAGCGTGGACCCCCGATGATTCCATTTGAGTGAGGTGTGGGTGTATTTTCATTCCAGAATTTTACACTACAACATTACCACATGCATTGACCAATTTTAATACAGGCTTTCCTTATGTTGCTTTATAATTAGAAGCCAGTGAATTGAAGTTCCACAGCGGTACATAGACTAGTAGTGATAGCTTTATGGAATTGTTTATTTTTAGTTTGGCAAAGGCTAAGCAGTAAATATCTCAATTAGTAAACTAAAGCAGCATGGATGAGAAATGCCCACAAGGAGATCAGGAGTTAGAAATAACTAAGTCAGTTAATTGAAGGAAACCCTCATATCACTTACCCCATATTTAGAGTTTGAAGAACCATCCTAATATGTGTGTGTGTGCGTGTGTGTGTGTGCGGGGGGGTACATGTACATGCACACACACACTGTCAGTATCCACGGTGCTGCCAGCATTGAAGTCCTTTGCATTCCCCAGATTCTAATTGTTTAGGAAGTGTCTCTCTTTGGAGCCACTGTGCTTGGTTATTGACCCAGTGGGATAGGTCAGTGTCCTATCACAGTACGATGGGATGTTGTCTGACTACAGAAGCTTTTCATCCTGCAATTTCTTTCACTGTGACCCACGAGGGATTTTCTTATGAAGTGCTGGGGGAAGTTATTCATATTCATATTCGTATTTATATTCACATTATATGGCCTGATGTGTGAAGATATTTAGTGAAAACATGCATGTGGCACTGCAGAATCATTTCCTCGCCTCTAGATAGAGGCTCCTGCATTATGTTTAAGATTCCATTTTAAGTTTCGAGTGAAAACAGAAGTGGTCTACAAAGCTTAGTTTTAAGAATTTAAGTTTTGTTTAAGGATCGAATCATGCTGTTCCTAGAGTTCCAGTATCTCTAGGAAATATTGACCACTCAGAAGATGAAAGATTCACTGGTAGTGTAAAACATTAAGAATGTTAGAGAAAAAAGGTTTGTGTTTTAAAGTTACAAAGTACCGTTATTTAGTTGTTATGATTTTTTGACACTGCATACTGTAGTCCATTTGCATTCATGACACGTATTTAACATTGTATGGAAGGTTGTTTGGATTTTCCCTCTAAAGTGGGGGAGGGTCAATAGAAAGGTCATTGTCTTCTTAGGCTTAACAGTTTACTACCTATCAGCTCTCTCTGGTCTATAGGGGACATGATGGGGGTTTGTGCATCTGCAGATTAAATTTCTGTATGTCTCCTCTCTGTTTTGCAGACAGGAAAAAGATAGCATTCAGCAGAGCTTTACCAAGGAAGCAAAGGCCCAAGCCCTTCAGGCCCAGCAAAGAGAGCAGGAGCTGACACAGAAGATACAGCAAATGGAGGCCCAGCATGACAAAACTGGTAGGTGGTAGGGAAAGATTAGAGCCTGGGCACTCGCTCACAAGCCAGGCCCACGCCTTACTGTGAAATGACATCAGGAACACCTGTAACCTTTGGCTGGCCGAAGGGAGCAGATGCTAACTACACCGGAGATTCCGAATTACATATTAGTTAGCGTTTAAAAGAGAAAATGGAAAGTATTGCCCACTGTCTGTTGATTTCAGAGTGCTGCTCTCACATCTGTTGCACCATCTGGATTATGAGTTTATTTACCTGTGTTCAAGAAACGTAAAGCTGAGAGAGACCACAACAAAGTAGAAAAACAAAGGGCTTGTTTTTGGCTGGGTTTTCAGGCACACATGTTATATAAAGAAAATAGCATCAGAAGCTCTGCGGGAAATGCTCTGAGCTTACAGTTAGAGTCTCCTGAATAGCATTGAACAGTTCCCACAGTACACACATTATAGCTACTCTAAAAGCCTAATGAGTTTGCTTCAGCATCCAAACTGGAGAAAAGCTTTAGCCATTAATCGGTTCTTAATTCACTGTCGCAGCTGGATGTAATTCAGTGGCTCCAAATTGATATGTTCCTTTATTTAATCTTTGCAGCTTCGAACATTTTTAGCATTTGTATGATTTCCCCACCTCCCCCAACCCAATCTAGAGTGATGTTTAATCCTTTGCATTCTTCAAGTTCTCACAACTGCTGTTAAAATTCACTAATACAAGGCATTGACCACAGCTGGCAACTTGGCTAAAAATTGCCATCTTTCATCACATTGGCACTATTCTGCAGACTGAGTTGGCCAGTAACTCTTTACCTTTAATTTGAAAGTAAAATGCACTTTGAAAATAGACAGTTTGATTTGTTCAGTCAGAGCATTATGTAGTTTCTTTCACTTTTGAGTTGTGTGTTCACAGACAGTGTTAGTCAAAACAAGACAGTGTCAGTCATTATAATTCCACGCCACATACTCCACACTGATTGTACTATTAAAACAAAAGTTTAATTGATCCTGTCTCTTCCAGAAAAATGTTGCTTAATTTTAGTGCCTTGATTTATTTTGATTTGTATGCTGTATGCTTTTTGCCAATCATTGGCTAAAATTGAAAAGAAATAAAGGACTGTTAAAACTTATGCTTAGAGGTAATTTTCATATGATTTAATGTATTAATATATTGTATTTGATGGTACGGTAAAAATTATTTCTTATCCTATGGGTGAAAAATTGCTAACATGCAAGCCTTTAAATAATCTATTTACTTATGAAGAGGCAAATGTCATATTGACTCACATAATTCCCTCTAGCACTTTCAGTAGAGATTTTCTTCTAACAGCATTTGGCCAGAAGAAACGAAAATTCACCAGGTTTAGTAGATGTTTCTCCACTAAAAACAAAAAGAGGAAATTGGAGGATAAATTATTGTTCGCCCTCACTGCTAGCATGATCCTAGTGACCAGAGTCTTGGGCAGAATCTGAGCACTAGATTAGAGTGTATTTAACTGTTAAAACCACCTTAAGAACATTTCCTTTTGTACACACACACAAAATCACACCGTTTTCAATTTCTTTGACCAGATCTCCATTGAAGCTCATGCTGTTGACAATGAAATTGAAATTCTAAAGAAAATACACATTTTTACCTTCACAATTAGAGAAGTGTATGCAAGATTGGGGGGGGTGGTGGTGGTAGTAAACCATGTGTGCAAATATGAAACAAAGCATGAATTACAGTGTAGACGAGAATTCCTCGATGATTTTAGTTTTGAATTATCTGGTTGTGAGAATTTTTGACACTCTGTTTATAGTAAAATTGTCAAAATTAAAATATAATATCTTGCATATTACAAAGATATAAGTATCTATGCTTCCGCTTGAGGTATCTGACACTTTATTAACATGTCAAAATGTTACACCAAGCTGGTCTGATAAAACATGTTTCTGGTGTATGCTTGTGTTGAAAATGAACGACTCCCAAGATTGAGCGTCTTTCCAGATGATAAGTCCTTTGACTTAGGACATTGAAGGTGATGTAGTGGCTTATTGGAAACGTGTAGGGGTCTAAGCACTTTACCACTCTGTGTATGGAAGCACTGCAGAGCGACAACCACAAACATCTTATGTTGGTGGGGGTTTATTGTTATTTCTAGAAAATGAACAATATTTGTTGCTGACCTCCCAGAATACATTTTTGACAAAGTTAAAGGAAGAATGCTGTACATTAGCCAAGAAACTGGAACAAATCTCTCAAAAAACCAGGTAGGTGATGTTATAGAATACTTTCAAGAGCACTGTTTATGTGATTACTCTAATTTTTCCTTAAAAAACAGCATTTACACTGTTTTATAATGTCAAAATTAAGTGTCTGCTGATGTTTCCTTTGAAAATATTTTCTACATATGGACATTTTCTTAATTGTCCATACACTTTTATGTTTTTTCATGTTGATGTGTGTACTATTATTTGACATTTTAATGTTTAGAATTGAAAACTGAAATTTCAGGAAAGAAAATATGGTAATAACATAAAGATGCAGATAAATCAAGCAGTTATAAAATCTTACATTGGTATGGTTAACACATTTTAATCTATTGTTACAATTCGCCATGAACACAAAAGCTATCTTTAGGTTAAATGATAACAGATGAAATGTGCATATATAAAAATGAAAGTAGATGGTACTTTGAAATAAACACACCAAAACTATTCTTCTCTTCCCTAAAATTGTTATATTTTAATAGAACAGCCATCATTCATTTTATAGGCATACTACTCTTTTATAAATCCATTGATTGGAATCTTAATGACTTTTTTCTACACACTTTCTAGTCAGATTATCTCAATGAATAAATTATTTTATATTCTAAACTGCAAGAAGCCTGACTCCTCATCTCAGCTCCGACAGTAACTGAATCATCTTGGACAAATGTATTTGACGTACTTGGACTATAGTTTCTTCTTTTGTCAATGAATAACATTGGACAGAATCACTTGAAATTGAACTATAGAAGGCAATATTCACATAACTGATACGATGTCAAATATTACTTTATATGATAATGAAAAAATAGCCTATGTGTCTTCTCTTCTGTATTTTTCTGAAACTTATGTAGATCTATTGAGAGCAGGAAATATGTCTCAGCAAACAAACTGCTCACCTAGATGTTTCATTCGGAAAGGATTTCCGGGAGGATCAGGGCATATCTGATCACTCTGAGCTCCATCTTGGGATCCTGCATCAACAATCTGTCTTAGCTGATAGAACCCCCATCCCTGAATCTTTTGGGGAATCAGAGGGCTCGTGCATCCAACTCTCCCTGCTCACAGGAAGGCAGAGGCTCCTGTAACCACCAAGAATGTACTCTGACATGCGCACCTTCCTAGCATATACTAAGATTGTATTTTGGTAGGGGAAAACCTAGGTGCCAAAATACCAGGTATTTCAAGGAGATTTGACCATGAAAACTAAATGATTTGGTCATGAAAGAGACCCATAAAATATCTACAGTAGCTATTCTTAACCAGAAATACTTGATTTGCACCACATAGGTCCAAAAGTAATTTGTTAGAAGCAAACAAACCAGATTATATCATTTAGGGATAAAATGATACTAATCTGGGTTTTATATAAATGTGTTAGGTCTAAAATTGGTTTGTGAATGATGACTGATCTTGCTCTCCAAGGAAACATAATTAGGGAAATTTATTATATAAAAGAGACAAAAAGGTGCTTGGTATATATTATTTAATTCTCACCACAACTTGAGACAGAAATTATTATCTTCCAGATAAGGAAACCAAAACTGTTTAAATAACTGGTGAGTGGGAGAGCTAGGGTTCTAACCTAGATATTTCTGGTTCCAAAGTATATGTTCTTTCTTACAGTAATTATAGTATTTTACATTTATTGCTAAAGAAAATTCAAGTCATAGTAGTTATGATGAGAAAGTTTGGGAAGGAAAAATTAACCTTTAAATTTCCGTAGAGAAGTAAGCGTCCTTGGCATGTAACAGTTAACTTACTCTTTGCCCCTAGGCCCTCTTTTTCCTCCTCTAGATCTGTCATCTTGGCCTGTACTGGTCTAACTCAGCACCTCTACTGCTTCTCCTGCTTCTCGTTCCTTCAGCTCCTGAACACTGCTTTGTAAATTGGATGTATTCTTTTATATCTGACACATAGGTGGCACTTAATGAATAAATGATGAATGAATGAAACAAATAGGTGTGGTGCTATTCGCACCTCCTGATCTGACTTTTGATGCCAGTCTGTTCCATTGTGGATGACTGGCAGTGTGCAGTAAAGAACACGTGGCAATTCAGAGGAACTAGGTTTGAATCTCACTCTCCCACTTGGAGCTCTGTAACCTTGGGTGCATGGCCTCATCTCCCCAAACCCCAGCTTCTCCTTCTGTAAAAACATTTCCAAAGCCACGCTGCAGGACTGTTATGGGAATTGGAATTATATATGTAGATACACGTACATACACGTTATCAAGTGCCTAGCACGATGCCCGACACATTGTAATACACACTAGCTGCTGCTGTTTTCACAATAGCATTTTTAAGGGTCTTGACTGGAATTTGGGTATCACTTGACATAGCTGTTGTCTTTGCCGGGGAAAGTCTGACTGTCATTTGCTGATGGACAGAAGTCTATGCCACAGTGAAAGCCTTTTTAAAACAGTCAGATCAGGAAAATGTGGATCTAGTTGTATTTTGTAACTCTGATGAATTAAAACAGGCACCTACTCTAACTTTACAATTTGTCTCAACCAAGGCCTGGCAAGTAGTAAACACTTGATAAATTGGTACTTCCTAGTTTTAAAACTCTTAAGCGCCCCTAAAACTTACGAAAAGTGCATTTTGTGCACCTCACAAGAGAGTAGTGAATAGGACAAATTGTGATTTTAGGGTTGTTTGTTCTTAATTTCTTTTAGTTCCGGTTTCGTTTCTCCCTGGCTTCCTACTGTGACATTTTCAATAACTCATTCATGTTAAATTTAACATTCCATGTTGATGTTACCTTCTGCTTTGAAACCACCTACAAAACTTGAAGGGCTCAAACTGCTTCTTTTAAAATACAAGTTATTAATGTAGTAAACCCTGAAGAAGCCCTCCAGGAGTGTGCCTCTGCATACCCCATGCCAAACTATTGGGCTAAATAATTTTCCCTGTGCTTTGAGGTAAGGAAAATCTTGGAGTTTCCAAAGTTTTGTCATTGTGGAAACTCAGTCTCCAACTTTATATTTATCCAATCTGTATGGTAATTTTGGTCCAGCTTTTCCTCAGAGTATTACAGTAAAATTTTTCTTGAAAGTAAGTGTATGTATTTTGTATTGAACAATAATTAAGACATATTTTTCCCTCCTCTGTTACTAGCAACATTACTCTAAGAGTCTTATGTTATTCAAAATACCAACTAAACAAGCGGATTCCTACCATTTAAAACAGGTCTAGTCATTTGACTGGAGCCCACGCGGAATGACCGGAAAGCTGACCGCGCGGGCTCGGTGGGCACGTACGCCCTTGCTCTGCCCCAGCCTCATGCTAGGCTGCTCCGTTGCTCTGTGAAAACGTTTTGAAATGGTACCTGCGTGTGTGGGTCTGTTGTATGTGTTTTCTCCCCAAGTAGACCGTAAGTCGCATTGTGGCAGTGATGACTGCTTCTGTTTTCTGGAAGCCTCCATAGTGATTAGCACAGTAGTTTGCGCCCTGAGTGTACTCCACACTGCACGTAGTGGTGTCTGTAACCCTGGCATTTGTGAATGGCACGTCCCATTTTAAACTTAAAGTGAACTGCCGATTCTGTGCATTTTATATAGCTTGTTTTTGACCATCAGGCAAGAGAATTAATTCCATTTTGCTTTTAATTGGCACCAGGCAGACATTCTGGCTGATTTTAGTCGAAGCTCACATAAACTTTCGCTCTCCTTCCTTCTGTATTCCCCAGTACTCTGAGAGCTTATTACAGTTATGGGGTTGTTTTTTGAGGGAGGTACACGGAGCTATTTAAATAGCTTTGGTACAACTGTGATTTTTCTTTATCAAAGTGAAGGAAGCGTTCTCTCTCCCCACGCACTTAGATGAATCAGCAGTGAAACGTTGCAGTGCGGTTTGCAGTGCTATCTAACACCTGGCCTGGGAGAGCTTGGAAGGATTGGGTGCTGGCAAAGAGTGAGCCTCTGCCAGCCACAGAGTGGAGAGAAGTGTGTGCTAGGTTTTAGCTTCCACCACTTGCACATTGAAAAGAACCGGATAGAGCGTAGAACCAGGGTCTATGTGGATTTGCTGCTTTCTTTTCTGTCATTGTCACTTTCTGGGTTGTGAGGCTTGTGGACTGATGTCTAACACTGCCCATTGTGTATTTGTGATTTGCGTTTTGTAATTAAGAGGAACAATGGGAGTCCATGGGGTGTCGTTATATATAATGGTTGGTTTAATTTGTTTCACTTCTATCTTGTTAATTGTAAATTGATCATTAAGATTTGAATTCTAATCTGTCACCAGGGTTGTGAGTATTGAGGCTAGAGCAATGATCCTGGTTTTAATCACTGATGATGAGAAACAAATTTTATAATTTTGGTACATATTGCAGTTCATATATTTTAACACTATACTTTATGGTGTTATAAATATTGTTAAATGACTTTTAGTGTAGTTTTACTGTGTGGACTATAATGTATAAATTATATTACTGTTTTGGCAACAGTAGGTATCCAACTGTGTGAGTTTAATTGAGGTGAAGAACACACACCCGGTTGAACTGTTTTTTTCCTTTGCATGTTTACATGATGTTAGGTTGGGATACTATAAAAATTATATTTTCTACAAGAGGAGACTGATATTGGCCTCTGCTAATTGTTACCAAAAGTCAAACTAGAACCTAAAAGAATAAAAAATTCAGATATTATATTTCCCTTTGAAAGCAATTATCATTTTAATCTGAATTTTAGTAGTAAAATATATTTCATGCAAATGCAATTATACAATATAACTGGTATATAAAAATACAGGGGAAAGTTCATGCTTCTGCAAAGCCAGACATTGCCTAAATTTTCTGTGAAAATGAATTAGAGTCAATTATCCTTTTATATGACACAGGATAATCGTGCCAGAAACGTATCTCCAAACTAACAGAAAACTTGTTAAGTTTACTCTTTGAGCTTTGCAGACTACTGTTCTAGGAATATATCGTGAACTCCAGACAGAAAAAGGATGGCGTGCAGGCATATATGTCAAATTTTTATTGAGAAATGGAAGTTGGTAGGCAACTTACAATTATAAATAAAGAAAAAAACAAAAATATGCGAAGCAGAAAAAAAGATGGTTGCAATAACACACTTGATAGTGATATGTTCTTTATAAATAACATTTGTATTTTTGTGGTTATGTAAGACATCCTCAATGCAGGGAATTTGGAAAATACAAAGAAGAATTAAGGAAAATTTCCTGCCACTACCATCTAGAGATAACTATTCTTACCTCTGACATATTTCCCTTCAGTCATTTTTCATGTGTATGTATGTGTACATTTATATTGTAATTGAGATTACACTGTGTATACAGTTTTGCATCTGCTTTTTCATTTGATATCTAATGAACATTTTTCTATATCAGTAAATACTCTGAAAACAAAACTTTATTAAATGATTTGCATGGATAAGAATTATTAGGCTCTTAAGATGCTTCTAATTTTTAACCATTATGACTAATAATACAACAAAAACTTTGTACCTAAGTCTAAATTTTTGATTGTTTCCTTAATTGCTAGTCCAAGACTATGAATCCTTTTAAGGATATTAATGTGTTTTACCTTGCTTAAGTACTACACTAACTTCTAATCACTGTATATGTAGCCGTATTAGTAAATAACATTACAAAGAAGTGAGATTTTTTAAAAAAGGATGAGAAGCAATATTGCACAGTGGGTAGAACGACCCGTTTAGAGGTGGACTAAGTAGTATTTGTATCTGGGCTTGCCTACTTGGATGACCTTAGGCAAGTCATTAAACTTCATATTTAACCTCACAGAGAAAAGAAAATAAACCCTTACAAGTACCTTATAGGATTAATTGAGATCATGAATGTAAAGGATGGATTTCACTATTTGTTATACAGTGGCATGCAGTAAATATTTGGTGGTAGTATCTGGTTTTGTTGTGCTATATTTTGAATAATAGTGAAATTGAATATGTTATAAATATTATTGATCATTTATGTTTATTCTGTAGATATTTTAAATATTTCTTATACTTTCAATTGGAATTTTGATGGAGAGTGCAGTTAGTGTTTCATTAAATGATGCTTTTAATGTTTGTCTTATTTTTGTAAATAATTTCCTGTTGTATACATTGATTTTAATTAATAAGCTTTATTTTTTAGAGCAGTTTTAGGTTCATAGCAAAACTGGACAGAAAGTACAGAATTCCCATATATTCCCTGTTCCTTCCACACACAACCTCCCCCACCAGTGACATCTACATTTTGTTTTATTATGATTTTGTTTCAAAATCAGAATGAATTTATTTTTAAAAAATAAAATACATATCTATTTTACAAATTTAGAAAGATGAATAAAGAACAGAGAAAACATTCCTGATCCTACCATCCAGAAATAATCAGTATTAATAGTTGGTATACATGTCAAAATATTTTTCTAAATTATAAAATGAAATCACATCATACATGCTGACTTTTAATGTTTTCTCTTTTTTACAAATATGTCACAGTTTTAGATCAATAAATATCACTTATAAATAGCCACATTATCAGATTAATAAGTAACATAACCAGGCTCCTGTGGATAGATTTCTTGGTTAAGTTTCCAGATTATGGGTTGCAAAGAAAGGTGGTTTCTAGAAGCAGTGCTACAATGAATACTCTCACACAAACCTAGGATATATTTTAAATATATGATTTTTTTATGTGTAAAAGTTTTGTATTTTTGTATTGTAAAATCTATTTTTTTCTTTGTGATTTTTCTTTTTAAAAGTGCCTTTCGCTTGGAAAGTGCCTGAGAAAAGATCAATGTTCTGCATTTTTTTCTAATCTGGTTTAAGGATTTTTTTTTCTTCTTTTGGAATTTATTTTAGTGCATGGTATGATAGGAGATACTAATCTTGGATGGGATACCAGATCAAAAATTTATTATAACTGCCTCTAAATTCTTTTGTATTGTATGTGATTCTGAAAGGAGAAACATAAGTCATTATTAACTCCTTTTGGACTATTTCAAATATGGGTAGATTCTTATTAGGAGAAGCAAATGTAGATTGAACACTTGATCTGAACTTGAAAATGAGATAATCCATGCTCTCATACAGAATCTGGTAGGAAAGACAAGGCACAGAGCACAATTTAAAAGAATAAATTATAAGCTAATGTATGCATAAAGGCTAGAGGTAGCTTCAAAAAACGTGCTGACATATTGAGAACTGCAAGGTATTAATCAGGGCAAGCTTCCCGTGGGATGACATTTGAACCAAGATGAAAACAAAATGAAGAATGAAGTGAACTAAAAGCAAGAGTTTTTGCCCCATACACGTGAGCAGCCGGGTCCTTGGGATTAACAATTTGTAAAGTAAAATTTCCCTTAGCAAATCCAAATCCTTTCCTGACCAGGAAGAAAAGGCTATCTTGCCTACTGGAAGAATCCTTTCTTTGAAGGGAATTAATTTTATGTCAGGAGTCTTCAGGAAACAAACCAATTATTAACCTGAAAACGACTCATAATATACAAGAGTTTTAAACTCTCCGTTCTAACTGATTAGGCATTAGGGCGTGAGGAGATGGTGGCAGTAGGCAGAAATTTAGAGTTTACTTAATACAAGGAAAGGAATATAATTTTTCTTGGATAAACATCTTTCTGATCTTCAAATTTTGAGACTTGGATTGTCATTTAAGACACGAACAACAGGATATTGCCATTTTGCTCAGGGGAGGTCAATCTTTTTTCTATTAAGACCTTCAGTGGATTGGAGGAAGCCCGCCGAGGTGGAGGGGAATCCGCTTTTCTCAAAGTCTACTAATTTAAATGTTAATATCATCTAAAAAACACTCTCACAGAAATGTCCAGAATAATGTCTGGTCAAATGTCTGGGTACCATGGCCCAACTAAGTTGACACATAAAATTAACCATTAAAGAACTATTTTTATTTTAACCGTGTGCCATTCGGCTGGTTATGTTAATTAAAAGAAACTCTGTGATAGAAATTAGGCCTAGGGTTTCTTCTTCGACAGCATAGTGTTTGGCCTATAACAAGCACTCAGTAAGTATTTGTTAAAAGAAGGATAGTCTTTTAAAAAAGAGATTTGATCATTGTCATTTTTGTCTTGTTCCTTAGGGAAGCCATTTCTATTAGAATAAGTTGTTATTCCTTTTTCTGTCTAACACGTGAGTCTCTGCAATGTATGTTGCCATTTCTGAAATATTTTCTTTTGCAAAGGATATAGTTTTCATTATACTATTATGTTTAAGTATGGAGTTTAAGATAATGTTAAGGTTATATAATAACAATATGCCCTAGTAATAAGAACCTTTAACATCTATCATTTTTGTGTTTTCACCTCTCTAGATCTGAAATAGCTCAACTCAGTCAAGAAAAAAGGTATACATATGATAAATTGGGAAAGTTACAGAGAAGAAATGAAGAATTGGAGGAACAGTGTGTCCAGCATGGGAGAGTACATGAGATAATGAAGCAAAGGTAATCAAGGTTTCATGATCAACTCACGTGTCACGTCTTGAATGTGTTTGGTTTACACGCAGAAGGGGAATTGTGGCAGAATAAGTAGAATTCATCATCATTATGCCACTCCGGACATGCTCAAAATGTAATACTTTTATTTTATGTATTTATGCTTCCTTAATTTACATTGTTCTTATTATATAGAAAGAGGAGAGTACATCCTCTTTTTGTAGGTCTCCGAAGACATAGAATTAGATTTAACATGGAAGAATGGAGGAAAGCCATTTTCCTTTAAGACGTAAGTTGGTAATATTGCAATATGGAGGAATTTCAAATCATCTTTCCTAGAAATTAGGTTTTATATGCTTTTTGTAAGGTTAAGCACATAGTAGGTCTAAAGAGGTTAAACATCTTATCAGAGGTTGCACTAATAGCATTGCTAGAGTCAGAACTTGGCTACAAACAAAACCTTTGCTTCTTTCTAGTGGCGTTACTTTGAGCAAGTCACACTTAAGTTCTCTGAGTGACTGTTTCTTCACCTATATATTGGCACTAATCATATCTACTTTGCATTTTGATAGAAAGATTGAATATAATATAGTAAAGCACTATAGTGGCTCATACAGGCCACCCACTAAATGTCATCAATGATTATTCTCTTTTTCTTGATGACGAAATTCAGCTCAGAGAGGCTAATAGGTTTGCTCAAAGTGACAGATGGAATAAGTGGTAGAGTTCAGACTTGAATCTTGGTCTTTTGACTCCAAATCCTTTCCTTTTTGTGCAGTATTGGGGATTTTTTTTTTTTTTTTGGCAATAAGCACAGCCTCTTATTATTTTTTATCCATGTGCCATTTCTCATTTCTGTGTGATAATGGATTCCCTGGGGAGAAAATAATCTCAGTATTTCACAGCAGACAGTGAATAGGTTTCTGTGGACTTGGACTTCCACGTGACAACCGCACGCCCAATGATAGCAGTCACCCTTCCAGGGGACACAGTTCACGTGGCCTCCAGCTCTGTATCCCCACACCAGTTCCCAGTCGTCCCTGCCTTCTCTGTTTCAAAAACGGTTCTTGATATAATTGAAGGAAATGAAAATATTTATAGACTCCTTGTATTTTTTAAGTGTAAAGTAACATATTAGCCTGGGGAGGGGGGAGGTATTTTTATGTTGATTACTTGCTTTATTGAATGGAAGACAGGCAGTCAGATAATGGCACTGCTTGTCAGTCATCAAAATACCAAAATATGCATATATTTGCAAAGTAATAATTATTCATTCACTATTAAAATATTTACTTAAGCCCAGGCACTTCTGTAGGCCAGGGGTCTGCAAACGTTTTCTGTAAAGGGCCAGAGAGTAAATATTTTGGACTTTGCAGGCCACACATGGTCTCTGTGGCATAGTCTTCCTTGTTTTGTGTTTTTTACAACCCTTTGAAAAAGTAAAGACCATTATTAGCTAGAGGACCAACAAAATGAGCCAGCGGATTTGGCCATTGGGCCAGCCTTTGCCCCAGTCCTGTGCACCTGGGGCAGCTTTCCATTTATTTTCTTACATTTGTGTATTGCTTTAGAGTTCTCAGAATGCTCTCACACTTGTTACCTTATATACTTTGAAGCAGCCTTGAAAGTAGCTGTATTTATCATCTCCATTTCCAGATGGAGAACTAAGCCTAAGAAAGACAAACGTGCGGAATGAAGGTCAGGTAGCAAATTACGATTCATTCATTCAACATTGATTGATTGAGTGAGTGAGTGATTGCTACTATGTGTCACATTTTCTACCACATGCTGGAATAAAATAGCAAAGTAGATATAGTTCCCACTCTAATGGAGCTTACATCCTTATAGGGAAGATGGATGTTAGCAAAAGAATTTCACAACTGTCTAATTAATTATAGTTGACCCTTAAACAACACAGATGTGAACTGTCTGGGCCCACTTACACACAGATTCTTTTCAATAAATTTATTGGAAAATTTTTTTGAGATTTGTAACAATTTGAAAAAACCTGCAGATAAACCATATAGCCTAGAAATAATGAAAAGAAGTTTTAAATTTAGGTATGTCATGAATATATAAAATATCTGTAGATACTGGTCTTTATCATTTACTACCATAAAATATATGCAACTCTATTATAAAAAGTTAAAATTTATCAAAACTTACACACACAAACACAGATCATACATGGTACCATTTGCAATTGAGAGAAATGTAAAATGTAAAGATATAGTATTAAATCATAACTGCATGAAATTAACTGTAGTACACACTGTACTACTGTGATAATTTTGTAACCACCTCCTGTTGCTATTGCGAGGAGCTCAAGTATTGTAGTATCCACTGAAAACCCTGTGTGTACTAAATCATCTGCATGTGAACAGTTTCTCTCTCCACTAAATTGCTTATTGCAATAACAAGTGATCTATTGCAGTTCTTGTGCATTTTTCATCATGTTTACTGCAATACCATAAACCTTGAATAACACTGTGGGACCCATACGAAATGCGGCTACTGATGTTGGAAGCACTTTCAAGAAGCAGAGAAAAGTCATGACATTACAAGCAAAAGTTGCAGTGCTTGATGTGTAGCTTAGATTGAAGTTTGCAGCTGCAGCTGCCATCATTTCAGATGATTCATCTTGTAAACAGACAGTATAAACTTATCGCATCAATATATAACAGTACAGTACTGTAAAGGTATTTTCTCATGATTTTCTTAATATTTTCTCTAGCTTACTTTATTGTAAGAATATAGTATATAATACATATACAAATATGTGCTAATCAACCGTTTATGTTATCAATAAAGCTTCTGGTCAACAGTAGGCTATTGGTAGTTCAATTTGAGAGGAGTCAAAAGTTATGCATGGATTTTTGACTGTACAGGGGGTTGACGCTTCTAACCCCCATGTTGCTCAAGGGCCAACTGTATAATCATGACCAGTTCTATGAAGGAGAAATACATTTGGTGGTACAAGTACATTTAATAACGGGACTTGTTTTTTAAAAAATTATTTGTAAGAGAATATCTCACTCTGTTGCCCAGGCTGAAGTGTAACCTTGAACTCCTGGGCTCAAGTGATCCTCCCTCCTCAACCTCCCAAGTAGGTAGGGCTACAGGTACATACCACCATGCCCTGCTAATTTTTTTTTTTTTTTTTTTTTTTTTTGAGACAGAATCTTACTCTGTCACCCAGGTTGGAGTGCAGTGGCGCAATCTTTCAGCTCACTGCAACCTCCGTCTCCTGGGTTCAAGCGATCCTCCTGCCTCAGCCTCTCAAGTAGCTGGGACTACGGGCACGTGCCACCATGCCCAGCTAATCCTTGGTATTTTAGTAGAGACAGGGTTTCACCATGTTGGCCAGGATGGTCTCGATCTCTTCACCTTATGATCCATCTGCCTTAGCCTCCCACAGTGCTGGATTACAGGCATGAGCCACTGCGCCTGGCCCTTTTTTTGTTTTTGTTTTGAAACAGAGTCTCACTGTGTCATCCAGGCTGGAGTGCAGTGGCGTGATCTCAGCTCACTGCTACCTCCCCTCTGAGGTTCAAGCGAGTCTCCCGCCTCAGCCTCCAGAGTAGCTGGGACTACAGGCGCCCGCCACACGCCCAACTAGTTTTTGTATTTTTTAGTAGAGACAGGGTTTCACCATGCTGGCCAGGCTCATCTCGAACTCCTGACGTCAGGTGATACCCTTACCTCGGCCTCCTCTGGGATTACAGGCATGAACCACCATGCCTGGCCTAATTTTTAAAACTTTTTGTAGATACTAGGTCTTGCTATGTGTGTCCAGTCTGGTCTTGATCTCCTCACCTCAAACCGTTCTCCCACTCAGCCTTCCAAATCTCTGGGATTACAGGTGTGAGCCACTGTCCCAGCAGGGCACTTAACGTTGATTAAGAAAGCTTCAATGGAACATGACATTTCAAACGGTAAGCAGTGGGGTTAGATGATTAGCCTTTTAGATCAGGAATTGGCAAATATCCTTGCCTGCTTCCTAAAAAATTTTTCTGATCCTGTTCTAGAGAAGGAAAAATCTATAAAATGGAAGTCCTAAGGATAAGAAAGCATAGTACTGAGGAACACTAAGAACTGTGTGTCTAACATAAAGGGAAAAAGAAAGTGTGGCATACAATGAGGTTGGAGAGGTAGGCAAGGGCTGGAACCTAAGGCAGGGCTTTATTTTTTATTTATTTTATTTTTATTATTATTACTTTTTTTTTTTTTTTTTTTGAGACGGAGTCTCGCTCTGTCACCCAGGCTGGAGTGCAGTGGCAAGATCTCGGCTCACTGCAAGCTCGCGCTCCCGGGTTACGCCATTCTCCTGCCTCAGCCTCCCCAGTAGCTGGGACTACAGGCGCCCGCCACCACGCCTGGCTAATTTTTTGTATTTTTAGTAGAGACGAGCTTTCACCATGTTGACCAGCATTGTCTGGATCTCCTGACTCGTGATCTGCCCGCCTTGGCCTCCCAAAGTGCTGGGATTACAGGCGTGAGCTACCGTGCCCGGCCAGTCTTTATGTTTTTATCATGGACCTTTTATTTTTGTCTTGTTACTAATGGGAAGAAAAATGAGGCCAAGGTGGTGGATCATGAGGTCAGGAGTTTGAGACCAGCCTGCGCCCTCGAAACCCCGTCTCTACGAAAAATACAAAAAAGTAGGCCGGGCGCGGTGGCTGAAGCCTGTAATCTCAGCACTTGGGGAGGCCGAGGTGGTGGATCACAAGGTCAGGAGATCGAGACCATCCTGGCTAACACTGGTGAAACCCGGCTCTACTAAAAATACAAAAATTAGCCGGGCGTGGTGGCGGCGCCTGTAGTCCCGCTACTCGGGGAGGCTGAGGCAAGGAGATATGACATGAACCTGGGAGGCGGAGCTTGCAGTGAGCCGAGATTGCGCCACTGCACTCCAGCCTGGGCGACAGAGCGAGACACCGTCTCAAAAAAAAAAAAAAAAATACAAAAAGTAGCTGTGCATGGTGGTGAGTGCCTGTGATCTCAGCTAC